TTTTGGCTGCTACTACTAATTATTATTACTACTATTACAGGTACCTATATATAGCTCCATCAATTTCCTCAGCGCTTTACATATATATTGTACATTCACATCAGTCCCTAACCCTTAAGGAGCGTACAATCTAAGGTCCCTAACATTCATATATACACTGTGGGGGTAGCTCAGGTGGGTATCACCTTCCCTGGGGAAAAAGGTAGTCAAGACAGCAGGCCTTTCGTAAAATCTGACTTGTTGTCAGATTTAAAAGGTTGCAAGTATCATAAACAAACAAAACAGAAAATAAACCCTCGCCATCCAGGCACTAACTAAACACAGGAGCTTCACCCTGTAAATCAAATCAAAACAGTATGCAAACCTTTTCCTTTCTTGTACAATGCCACAGCTCATACAGATATGGCTCTCTGAGTCCCAGGCCAAGAGCAACTTCTTGCTCCAGTCCTGCCTTATTTATACCACCTGCTGGTGGTCATCAGTGGACCACAAAAACCGATCCGGAACCACCTCTGTCATAGTGGCCTGGAAAACCCGGACTGGACTCCACCTTAATGTCCTAGATATGACCGCATGCGAGGTGAGACATAGCGTCCATCGATCACCTTGCCTTTCATAATGTCACAACATATACAATTTAGACAGGAGCCAATAAACTTTATTGTGGACATGTTCCCACTCCTCAAACAACCTATGCCATTCAAACACTTGATTTCTTCATGGAATATTCACCATAAACCTGTTGTAACAGAACTAAAGTTTCACTTGCACTTTTGCCAAAATTTTATGTTAATCCACTGCTCCAGATTCTGGTCACTTATTTTCAGCCAACAGCACAAACAGTGACCCTGTCCCAGGCATGTGCAAGTTAGAACATGCTCGAGTGTGAGATTGAATTAATGTGTGACTCACCACCATAGTGATATGCTGCACCCATTCCAAAAATTAAATTATCACACCTTGTGAAGCATTTTTATAAGTATAAACAGGCATTTGTGAATGTACTGCTTCCCTATAGTCAATCTTTAGTATTATTATGGTTACAAACTTCCAGCTGGAAACAAAAACATTTAAGGCTTTTAGGAATGCACAATGCCATTTAGGGATTCTATTCCATTATGGACTACAGTCTTGGTTGTTTCTTTACAGACCACGCTGCATATTTAACTGTTTAGCAGTTTAGGCTAAGAACATTTTCAGAAGTACAGAAAATAACTGTTCTCGCAAAAAATAGTGTCCTCATCAGCGAACTGACCTGGAAGCATAAAACAATCTTATCTTGTCTGTGTAAACTACTAATCCCATCAATTCCCATGTAATGGAGATGAACAAATCCAGACATGTTTGGAGTCCAGGGTGAAATGCAACCATGGCTTCCTATAAAAGCAACAATGGAGGAGTGAGTGTAGTCACCAAGATAGGGGAAGTGTGTAATTCAGAAGATTTTCGAGTGAAAATATTGGAAAAAAAAAAAAAAAAAAAGCCTGCAAAAAGAAAGAAAACAAAAACAAAAAAGGTACCTGATCTAAGAACTAATCAATTGCAATATATAAACTCTGTGCTTCAATAAGCTTTAAGCAAATAGACAGGATACTGCGGTCCCATTTCTATGGGTAACCCTTTATAAGAGTAATACTCATTTGGACAAGAATTAGAAGAAACTCTAGACAAAGCTTCAGAAACCTTAAACAGTAATTTAAGGGGTGTAGGCAGTTCAAAGATTCACTGCCACAAACCCTTTTTTTTTGTCCCATCAAAAGATTCAGGGTCAGTTCACACTATGCGTATCAGTAGCTTTTTTTCTGCATCCAAAAACACACAGAAAGTAGGTTATATGGTTGTCAATGTCATAGTTCACATTAGTGCATTCTGGTTGCAGACAAAAAAAAAAAAAAAAAAAAAAAAAAAAAAAAAAAAAAAAGAAGAACATGCAGCACAGAACTGTACTCTCTAAAACTCATCAAAAAGACACTGGAACGTGCACGTCCCTATTTTTTTTTTTGTTTACAAACGATTTTATTGTATAAGAATAGACTGTAAAACAACAGTACATTGTCGCAAAGAACTTACAACAAAAACAGCATGTCCCTATTTAAATTGAAGAAAAAGAGGGGAAAAACTTAACTGAAATGCATAAAAAACGCACCAGCACGCGTCAAAAACGCACATGCAGAAACGCATCCGGAATGCGTTTATAGTGTGAAACGGCCCTTGGCATACATAGAGTAAAAAAGGAGACCTATTTCCGATTACACCATTATAGACTGTAGGCAGTATTTCTTTTAGGCGAAGTTCACATATATGTGGTATGGGACACCGCATATGATTCTAATAGGAATCGCACCGCATTCCTATTCAAATCATATGCAATGTCTGTGTGGTGTGATTTGAGATGTATGGCCCCAAAACGTACTGCATCCGCACAAGAAAAGGTGCAGGACTATTTTTTTTCCCTTATACCTATGCCATCTGTCAACTGCACTGTGTTTTGCAAACTGTTTGGGGGTGTCTTTAACGCAACATCAACACCCACTGAGGTTCACATGAACTCCGTGTGATTTCAATGTGGTGTGGAAAACGGTCAGGATTTGCTACATTTCCTTCACTACATATTATTCTAAATTTCAGCAGTATAATGTGCAGAGTCCACGATTCTATAATGGTCCATGCTACTGGAATAGGATGGTTCTACAAGTTCCTAGGACAAGCGATTTCTGCCCTCTCAGCTAGCATTTCTGGAATGGTGGACATCTATAAGTGTCTCAAGAAGTTCCCTTGGTTCACAGATCCCCCTTCAAAAAATAGTCACAGAAGCCAGTCTATCATGATGACAATGGCCTTCAATAAAGGAGAAGTTCACCTTTCGCAACAGGTTACATGTTACACCCATAATAAGGGTGTAACATGTAACATGTTACAAATGGGCTGCCCCCTCCTCCTTCCCCCGATCTTCGTTGTGACAGCTACCAGGGGATTTTCTCCCTCCCTGCTTGATCTCACAATTTAAAAAAAAAAAAAAAAAAAAAAAAAAACCGTGGCAGGCCTGCCACCATCACTCATGCACAGTATTCTGTAAATGAGAACACTACATTTGTCTTTGCGATTGTCGGCTTGTAGTTCTCAATGAACTACCAGGGCCGTGGTAGTTCATCGAGTTTTCCAGTCAGTAAGTATCTGATTGCCCGTATGGCATGTAGGGGCACACAGATACAAGGACAGGTCTGCGGGAGAAATGCATGGCACCAGTGATCTGCTGATCTCTGGTGCAATCCTTTTACCTGCAAAAAATGTGCATTTATTATTTGTTGTTAAAAGGTGAACTTATCCTTTAAAAAGCAATCCTTCTCCAAGCACAGAAAATTGCCAATGATTTGGAAGTCCAAGATCTGATGCAGGAGGAAGACATATGAGTTGTATACTCTGACACTACAGCGACAGTAACACATATCAGCAAGCAGGGGAAACACACAATCTTCCATTAATGTCTCTTTCCCTGCAGGTATGTTACTGGTACAAGATATCTTCAGCTGTACCCTTGAAAGCTTCAATAATAACAGCTGCAGACCAATGTAACCAGGAATTCAATCAGTATTAAACCCAAAAGCAAACATTTTTATATTGCAGCGTACCAATTCTTAGATGTGGTGGCTGCATTTTGCTTTTTTTTTGGCTTTTTCCCCCTTTTATTTTTACCTGGTGATCCAGCCAGCAAGTCTGTTCTTTTTCAAAAGAACAAGCTCTTCTGCAAAATGTAACAGGGATAGAGGGATGAAACAGTTTACCACTGACAGAGTGCTTACAATGGTCAAGTTTTTTTTTTTTTTTTTCGGATAAAGGTTTTATATAAATAAATAAGTTTGCTGTAATTGCTTATAAACTGTAAGCTGGAGTTTGGCTTCAATTTGTTAGTGCATCTAAATTTGCTAGTCTAACAATCCCCTCCCCCAAGATTAACAATGCTGCTGCCCAAAGGTGTCCCTGTCCTTCATCCAGAGTAGATCACTAGGTTACTGGCCAGATTACTAGGTGAAAACAGAGGGAAAAGCCTACAGAAAGAAAAACTAATGCAGCCACCACATCTGATTGGTAGGCTGGAATATATAAAATTTTTGGGTTTGGGTTTAATACCACTTTTAAGCACCAGGAGTGGTCTTTGAAACAGGAGAAATTCCAGCTAAAATGTGGGACCCCTTAGATTTGGCCTTTTTGAAACTAGCAAAGAACTGCTCCGCTCTAAAGCCAACTAAAATAGAGCAGTATAGGTCAGACTTCAGTAGAATTCTGAATGGTTGCCCAACCACTGTAATCCTCTGTACATCAGTCCCACCACTGTAATCTCTTACACATCCGTCCCACCTACACATTTACCATGGTACCCCCTGCTTATCCGTACCACCACTGTAACCCCCTGCACATCTATTCCACCACCGTAGCCCCCGCTCAGCTGTCCCACTGCGGTATCCCCCTGCACATCTGACCCACTAATGTGTGTACTTAAAATTCTCCATGGGTGATGCTTTAAAAATGTCTACAAGTTAGCAGTGTAGAGTTACAGAGGAGGCCTAGTGCGAGAATTATTGCTCTTGCTCCGATGTTCTGGCGATACCTCAGATGTGTGGTTTGAACACCATTTACATATGTGGGCATGGCCTACGTATGTGTTTACCACTATGTGCAAGCATGGGGGGGACGGGGGCACTTTAAACTTTTTAAAAAAAATGTAATGTTTTTTTTTTTTTTTTTTGCATGGACACAGCAGCGGGCGGCAGCAAGGGGCGGGGTTTTTTTTCGGCACCTGCATCAGCGCTTTTTTTTTTCATTTTGGCAGACGGCCAAAAGAGGTGTTTTCAGCCGAAACGTTTCGGCCACCGAAATTCGGTGCATCCCTATTATCGAGTGACAGATGCAGAAATATATTTTGTGCAAAAACATAGATTAGGAACAATAGAAAAACAAACACAAAAACAAAAAACAAAAAAAAAAAAAAAAAAACCACTTACCCCAAGCACCAATAAATAATTTAAAGCACAGTAAATATGAAAAGGCCCATCCAAGGGTGTGTGACCCCAAGGTCATTTTGACAAATCTGCACAAAAGAAAAACAAAACATGATTTAGTTGACCTATACATCATAAAATGTTTAGTAAGAAATTGTTAAAAGTATTCCAAATACATTTACCTGTAAAGAAACAAACATACAGGTCCAAAGGTTAGGATATAAAACGGAACAGTAATATAGGAACTGCCAATAGTGTCTTGCATTTTAAAAAGTGCGGTTTCCCAGGAATGTCCTGCAAGTCTTGGATTGTCTACCTTGTAATACACGGATCTGGAACAAGCTTCTAGCAGGGAAAATATGAAGTGTCTGTATTGTATACTTGTTCCAGGCCATTAACTCAGCCAGTTCATTTCCAGAGTCATTATCACATTTCAGCTAGAAAAAGATGCCCTTTTCCCCCAATCCAAACAGTGATCATTTTAAACTAAGTGTTCTATAGATATCAAGTTCTTTCACTGAGCTAGATATGATACAATTATGCATTCTGTAGTCCACACTATTCTTCTTTACACTCGATTACTACTCTGCTATACAACCTATACTTCACATCTCTGCTTACCAATACCAGAGAGCTTGGTGTGACTTAAGTCTAAAGCTGGGTACACACGGGCCAAAAATAATTCGAAAACAGTGAGTTCGGCAGGAACCGTCCAACGTTTGGTTGGCCCATGTGTAATGCAGGCCATAGATGGGTCGAAAATCGGCCGATTTTTGGATCGTTAGTGGGCTATTTGTTCGGACGTTTTTCGGTATTTTGGCAGATTTTTTTTTATCGGTAAAGTTGGGCAAAAAAAACGGCCGATTTTCGCGGCAATGATGGCCAAATCAGCCGATTTTTTTACAGGAGAGGGAGGAGGAAGAGGAGGGAGGAGGAGGAGGAAGAAGAGGAGGAGGAAGAAGAGGAGGAGGAAGAAGAGGAGGAGAAGAGGAAGAAGAGGAGGAGGAGGAGGAAGAAGAGGAGGAGAGGAGGAGGAGGAAGAAGAGGAGGAGGAGGAGGAGGAGGAAGAGGAGGAGGAGGAGGAGGAGAAGAGGAGGAGGAGGAGGAGGAAGAAGGAGGAGGAGGAGGAGGAAGAAGAGGAGGAGGAGGAGGAAGAGGAGGAGGAGGAGGAGGAGAAGAGAGGAGGAGGAGGGAGGAAGAAGAGGAGGAGGAGGAGGAAGAAGAGGAGGAGGAGGATGAAGAAGAAGAGGATGAAGAAGAAGAGGATGAAGAAGAAGAGGATGAAGAAGAAGAGGATGAAGAAGAAGAGGATGAAGAAGAAGAGGATGAAGAAGAAGAGGATGAAGAAGAAGAGGATGAAGAAGAAGAGGATGAAGAAGAAGAGGAATTCCAGTCCGGCAAAAAGTGTCCCTGCAGAGAGCTCCACTATTTCTTTGACAGTTCCTTGACATTTATAGCGGTTGCAACAATGTATCTATTTCCGAATAAAAACATCTGTATCCTAAATGGATACAAATAGATACATTGTTGCAACTGCTATAAATGTCAAGGAACTGTCAAAGAAATAGCGGAGCTCTCTGCAGGGACACTTTTTGCCGGCTTGTAGACGGGATGAAAATCGGCCGATTTTTTTTACCATTGCTGGTAACGTCGGCCGCTTGAACGACCGATTTTTCGTTTTTTAAAAGAAAAATCGGCCGACTTTTGACCCATCTATGGCCTGCATAAGGCTCACAATCGGCTTCTGTCAGTCATGCTAGAAAACTAGCATCCGATCAGCGCTCACAGCCAATGGCTCCGAGTGCTGATCAGTGTGTTCTGGTGGAGGGAGCAGTTTCCCTGTCAGAGCACAATAGCTCAGCAGGGGAGATCACCACACTATCATCACTTAGCATGGCGACCTCTCTTTTTTTTTTTCCATTCAGTCCACTGGGTTGAATGAAAAAAAAAACAAACTGTGTGTGTACCCAGCCTTAGGCTGAGCACATCAAATGGTGTAGATACTGGTAACCCAAAATAGGTACAGCTTCAGCCCCTAGGAATAGTTAAAGATTTTAGTTAGAATAGAAGCAAAATATGACTACCCTTACTTCTACATACTTATTCAAATGCATATACACAGTGATTCCTCTGATACACTGCAGTAATTATACAGTAGATGTTGTAGTTTTATTGAGCCCACACAGTGGGAGACAAGTTTTAACAAGTCCAGATCTAGTGATAAATTAATGCTGCAGACACTCCTACAACAGATGGTACAGGTTAGCCAGGGGTGTGAACATTTTTGAAAAAACTAACTTGTCCAGGGACTAAAATCGGTGTCCCAGTCTACTTGTCCCTCATGACAATCTACTTGTCCAGATAAAAAATAAATACATTTTAACCAAAACCATATTTAAATCCAAGGTTATTTTATGGATGTTTGGGGCTTTTAAAAACAAAAAGGGGCTTTATGGGGACATAAACATGTATTATTTTTAACATTGCGCTGTTCATTTCCTCCTCCCCTCCCTGCCTGTCTCCATCACAGCACCCAGGGAACTAGCAGGGAGGGGAGAGACCTTGCAGTGTAATGAGCACCGATTGGCTGCTCCTCAGGAAAGGGGAGTGTCGGGCTTATCCTTTATCCTTTTCGCTGCCAGAGCCGTTTTTGCATTTTTTGCACGTTTAAAAAAATCATTTTAGGCCTTAAGATTACATAAAACCCCCAAACATTATATATTTTTTGAAAGCAGACACCCTAGAGCAGGGGTCTCCAAACTTCCCAGGTAAAGGGCCAGTTTACAGTCCTTCAGGCTTTATGGGGGCCAGACCGTGACCAGTCATGTGGTGAGTGGAAAATTCCTGGTATCAGTGCTCCATCATTCGTTTTAAAGGGAGGAATAGTGCACCATTGTTGATATCAGTGAGATAAATGCTGCCCCATTGATAGCGTCAGTAGGGTGAATGGTGCCCCATCATTGGTGTCAGTTTGTGGAATAGTGTCCCAAGGGCCACATAAGGGCTAGCAAAGGGCTACATTTGGCCCCCCGGCTGCAGTTTGGACACCATTGCCCAAGAAAATAAAATAGTGGTAGTTCCAATTTTTTATGTTGCAAAATTTCAGTAAAAAATACAAGTAAACTAATTTTAGGGCACCAAAAAAAGCAAATAAATTAAAAATTTTTTTGTAAAATATAAATGTTGAGGTTGCCCTGAGTAAATAGATATCCAACATATCAAACCTTAAATTTGCGTGCGCTCGTGAAATGGTGATGTACATCAGTACCCTATAAATTGTCATAGCCAACACTTTTAAAGCCCCTTATAGGTCATCAGTATAGTGCTATGGAGGAGGTTTTGTGCTAGAATTATTGCTCTCATTCTGGGCGTGTGTGGTGATATGCAACATACATATGATGTTTTCATGCGTAGGCGTCCCAGCATGTGATTTTACATTTGTACATGCGTGATTATTTTTGCTGACAGGTTCTCTTTATTGAGACATCAATGCATGTCTGCATATCTCTCCTCTGCGACACTGAATGTAATACAGTGCACATTGCAGTGCATTACATTATCTCGGCCTCCATGGACGGGAATCTGTTAAACGGGGACCCAGGTCAGGACACGAAGGGGAGGGGAGGTGGGAGAGGCTGGCACTGTATGGAAGGAAATCGGGTGGCAGCGCTGCCGCCTGAATTCTTCCACCTGACAGGTGAGCCCTGCAGTCATGCAACACTGCCCATATGAATTTTTTAGCATTTTTTTGAGACCGATAAAACTTTATTTTGGTGGTATTTATTCACCACTGGGATTTTAATTTTTTTTGCTATATAAATAAAAGGTCAAACATTTTGAAAAAAAGTGTTTTTCTTATAAAATTTTGCAAATAAATAATCTTTCAGCATAAAACTTGACCAAAAATGTATTCAATTATCTTTTTAGTAAAAAAAAAAAAAAAAAAATGAAAAAAAAAAAAAAAACCTCCAAAACTAGTTTATAACTAAAAATTATACATTTCTCAAATTTTTTTAAATTTTTATATTATTGGTTTTTTTTTAACATACTGTCACCCCAGCAGTACAGTGTCACCATAGTGACACTGTACTACTTTGTGGGGGGTGATGAAGATTTTTTTGTACACTGATTAAGGCTGCAAAAGCAATCATTTCGCCTTCTCTCTGGCAGCATTCTTGCAGTCATTGAGAAATACTGTGTGAGCTGCGATTGGTCACAGCTTGTCACATGGTACAAGGTTGTTGTGAATAGCCTTGTACCATGTGATCTCTGTGAGCATTCACAGATTTCACACATAGTAGGCAATGTCAGAAGTGACATCTTGCTTACTACTATTCATGTGATCACTGATTGGCCAATCAGTGATCATATGATCGGGACCTCACACAGAGGTCCCGTACAACGATTGGTGTTCCCAAGGAGCGCACACAAGCAGGGAAGCGGGGAGGACTTTATAAACGACCAACTGCCCCTGCACTGCTCCCGTCCAGCCGTTTGTATACATGGGAGGACAGGAAGTGGTTAAACGTTTTTTGATGTGTTCAGTGCATTTTTCCCCTCTTTTATTCTTAACCTTAAATAAGGACGTGTGTTTCTGATGCATTTTACCGCGTTCCAGTACAGTTCAGAAAAAAAAAAAAAATGCAGCATGATCTTTTTTTTTTTTTTTCCCCAGGAATTGGCACACACTGGTGTGAACTATGCCATTGGAAACCATATACCTCACTACCCATGCGTTTTTGATGCAGGAAGAAAAAAAAAAAATACAACACACTGGACTGCATGTGGTGTGAACCAGCCCTAAAAACAGTAATCAGCAAAGCTAAGTTCACACCTATGCAGTTTGCGTATGATCCGTTTCTGCAATGTGTTTTTTTTTCTTGTTGCTAGCCAGATTGAAAACGCAAAACGCATAAAAAAGTGGCAAAAATGCATAAAAAGAAACCAAAAAAAAAAAACAAAAACCACCACACACTACATGCTTTTCTGCAGCGTTTCCATTGAAGTCCATAGAACAAAAAAATTCAACTTTTTGCATTTAAAAAAGTCCCTGACCCTTTAAAAAAAAAAAAAAAAAAC